AAAAGGGGAGAAGGCTAAGACCAGAATGGACTGAGAAAATTAAAGAGGAAGTGACCAAGCAAATAAACGCAAGATTTCTAAAAGTGGTTCATTATCAAGAGTGGTTGGCAAATATAGTCCCAGTTTCCAAGAAAGTGGGACGGATCAAAATGTGCATGCATTATAGGGATTTGAACAAAGCATCACCGGAGGATGATTTTCCTCTCCCTCATATTGACATCTTGATAGACAGTATGGTAATGATGGGATGCCACTCCATTATGGATGGATTTCAGGGCATAACCAGATTCTCATGGCATTGTTGGATAAAATCAAGAGAGCTTTTGTGACAGAGTTTAGAACTTTTTGCTATCGGGTGATGCCATTTGGCTTAAAAAACATGGGGGCTACTTACCAAAGGATGACTACTATATTATTTCATGAATGATCCATAAGGAGCTAGAGATTTATATTAAATATATGATTGTCATGACTAAGACACCAGAAGAGCATCCAACAGCCCTGGAGCGGTTCATGGATAGAGTAATCAAATACAAGCCATGGCTGAACCCGAAGAAGTGTGTATTCGGGGTAACCTCGGGAAAAGTGCTAAGGTTTATAATAGGACTGAAAGAAATAAAGATCAATCCAGACACGATTAAGGCGATTAAGAGATGGAGCCGCCTAAGACAGAAAAGCAGTGAGAAGCTTTCTAAAGAATGATCCAGTATATCAGCAGGTTTATATCGAAGTTGTCGATAATATATGATCTAATCTTCAAGCTATTAAGGAAAGATCAACGAGCAAAGTGGAATGATCACTGCCAGATAGCTTTTGATTAAATCAAGGAACATTTGCAAGTCTCCTAGTTTTATGCCCACCAAAACATTTGTCAAAGGACGAGCAGTTGTAGACTTTCTAGCAGCACATCCAGTTGAAGACAATGAACAATAGGAGATTAATTTTCCCGATGAACATTTGAATTTGATAGAAAAGAAAATCACTGCCAGTTAGATTTTGATTAATCAAGGAACATTTGCAAGTCTCCTAGTTTTGCCAAAAGTCATTTGTCCGGCGGCAGTGTAGACTTCTAGCAGCAACATCCAGTTAGAAGACAATGGAACAATTAAAGGAGATTTAATTTTCCCGGATAACAATTTGAATTTTGATAGAAAAGAAGGATGGAAGCTTTACTTTGATGGTTCTCTTATAGCGAAAGAGCCGAAGTAGCGTCTTATTAGATCTCCACAAGGGGTTTTCCGTGCTGAAGAGATACACTAGCAGCACATCCAGTTGAAGACAATGAACAATAGGAGATTAATTTTCCCGATGAACATTTGAATTTGATAGAAAAGAAAGGATGGAAGCTTTACTTTGATGGTTCTGCTTATAGCAAAGGAGCCGAAGTAGCGTCTTATTAGAATCTCCACAAGGAGAAGTTATCCCGATGCTGAAGAGATTACAGTTTGCAGTTACGAATAACATGGCAAAATATGAAGCCTGCTTATTTGGGTTAGAAGCTCTGATTATCGTTAAAGTTGAAGAAGTTGAGGTTATTGGAGATTCAAAACTATTTATCGAGCACGCTAATGGAAATTGGAAAGTTAAGGAAGACAGGTTAAAGCCCTATATTGACTACATGCACATTGTTATTCAGAACTTCAAGAGAGTATCCTTCACGCACACTAGTAGAGTGAACAACCGAGTACCAGATGCTTTGGCAAATTTAGCAGCAGCCTGGGAAAAGATTTCAATTATCCTTCACGCAAATTTATGATGTCTTTGGGTGGAATCCCGTGTTATGAAGGAGGAAGGATTATGGAAATAGAGGAAGAAGATTAGCCATGGTTTCATGATGTCTTGCAGTGGATGACTAAGAGGGTTTATCTTGGCTCAGCTACTAGAGATGATAGAAGAGCTATACAACGTTTGATATTACAATTTCTAGTCCTAGATGGTCAATTGTACAAAAGAATGTCAGACGGGGTATTGTTGAGATGTGTATCAAGGAAAGAAGCTAAAGAGATTATGGAATAGATCCATGCAGGGGTTTGCGGCACCCACATGAATGGAAAAGCACTAGCCAGGAAAATTCTCAAATAAGGATTCTTCTGGTCGACAATGAAAAGGATTGTATTTCTTTTGTGAAAAGGTACTTCGAATGCCAAATTCATGGAGACCTGAGTCACATCCCACCTTCAGAATTACATCCTTGTATTTCACCATGGCCATTTGCAGCTTGAGGAATAGATATCATTGGCAAAATTTCGCCACCTGCTTCCAATGGACACGAATTTATAGTGGTGGCAGTGGACTATTTCTCAAGATGGGTTAAAGTAGAATCCTTTAAAAACATCAGCGCCAAGCAGATGGCCAAATTTATTGGAAAGAACCTGATCTGCAGATATGGGATTCCCCATCATATAGTGACAGATAATGGAGTTCAGTTCCAAGCAAAAGTAAATATACTATTAGAAAAAGATAGAATTGAGCATCATAAATCTTCACTGTATCGACCACAACCTAATAGGGTAGTGGAAGCGGCAACCAAGAGCATCAAGAAGACATTGAGGAAAATGGCAGAAAATCATCGAGATTAGGCAAGCAAGCTACAGTATACTTTGTGGGGCTACAGGACCACCACCAAATCTACAAATGGGGTAACTCCTCATTCTCTAGTCTACAAAATGGAAGTCATGCTACTGACAGAAATAGAAGTGCAGACCTTGCGCATAATGATGGAATTCAAGATTCCAGAATGTCAATGGGCAAAGAATCATTACCAAGTATTAGCACTCCTAGATGGAAAGAGGCTTAATGCTCGATTTATGGATCAGTTATATAAAAGGAGAATAACTAAGCACTTTAATAAGAGAGTTCATCCAGTGCTACTCAGAGTAGGGGATTTAGTTTTGAAACAAATGCGACCAAACATTCATGACCCGAGGGGGAAGTTCAAGCTTAACTGGGAAGGTCCATTTCTGATCAAGAAAATATTTTCAAAAGGTGCAGTAAAGCTATCAGACATGGAAGACAATGAATTTACTGAACCAGTCAATTTGGATAGACTAAAGAAATTTTATGTATAACTCGAAACATTTATGGCAAAACCCAATTAATAAATTCACCTTTTGTGCTCTTATTAACTTTAAAGATTGTTATGATAAGTTGGTGTTGATATGCAAATGATATGAATTTACATTGATGGCATAAAGTAGCATGAAATATATAAAGCATTTTTAAGCAAAAGACATTTCATTAGTAATAAGTGCATACATTTTCATATAGTTACACTATTAATAACTGTCTAGTAAATTTTATTAGAAAGCAGGATAGGAGCATCTACATGCCAGATCCTAATAGAAATCTAGCAGTCAATAAGTCAGCTGACTTCGAATCAGCACCAACTCCAGAGTAAGCCTGCAGCCACTAGCAGTACGAGTCTAAAGAAGAGGTATTGGTCACATCTGAAATGGGTACAGTCGTGCGACTACGCCGGGTGGAAATAAAGTGAGATAGAAATCGTTGGGTAATAAGTCCAACCTCAAACCGAGTGTAATTAGGGACAGCCCGATGACCACCGTACTGCCTAGCTACACAGTTGGGATAATAAGCCACTGCCATGGTCAATCCACACAGGGGCACACAAAGCATGCATGAAGAAACTGTGACCTGCTCTATGTACCACTAGGGACACGTCCACCTAACCCCCTCGAAGGTGAGACTTGAAAAATAGTAGTCCAGTCTTCAATAGTGTCGCCAGTCAAGCGACGAAGGCACCGGACATAGACTCACAGTCTATAATCAAACATCAAATGGTCCAATGGTGGGTGCATCACCTAAGCTTCTCAGAAGCCCACAACTACAAATGCATTAAAAACAAAAGAGAAAAGAAGAAAAAAGGAAAAAACTCGTTAAGTCGAAAACCCGCAAGGGCAGCTTAAGCAAAAGTTAGAGCATTATAAAAAATAATAATAAAAAAAAGAAAAAGGGGAGAGAGAAGCTCCTTCAGTTGACAACCTACAAGGGCGGCTTAAGCAAAAGTAAGAGCGTATATAAAAAATAAATTAAAATAAGAAGAAAATAAAAATTCATTTACCTGCAGTAGAAGCGGGCTCCCCATCGAACCAAGTACCAAGCTAGAGTCCCGAGCATGTTCTCCTAACCAAGTAAAAGTCTCAACCAGAATAAGTGGAAAAGGCGTGTGTCACCTAGCCATCTGCTCGACTATAGGTACCAGCCGAAGGCTACCATAGTCATCAATACCACTGAGTAGCAAGTACTGACTAAGAATGCAAAAATAGACAAGTGGAGGCCAGTACGGGCTAGTGTGGTCCATACTCAATGCACGGTCTACAAGTGGGGCAGGGGAACAACATCAGTTCCGATGTCATAAGACAGCATCTTATAAGTCGAGAAACCAAATACAAGCAAATTCATTGAAGCAGGATCAACATCCAACCGGGGCACCGCAGGAACCTCTTTAGCCATGGGTAATTCTCTTAGAAATAATGCTAAGCTCTTCGAACAATGGACAACTTTCGAAGTCACTATGGCGAAATAAGTTGTCCAAAGGGTCGAAATGATTAATTAGTCATTGCAGCAATTCGGGTTGAACCCGTATACTCCAGTAATAGCTCAGCCCTTTGAGTTCGAATGGTGAAAGCAAATTCCAATCCTCATGGCTAAAACTGCAAGAGAATGCTTCAAATGCGAGTGCCAAGGATCGATCCATGAAGAATGGGGAAGAAATGAAAAGTTTGGGAAGTTTTTAAGTGAAAGCCTCGTCTGGAAAGAGAAAAACAAGCTTTTGAAGCGTGTATGGGTGTTATGGGATTTTATAGTAAGAAGTAAAAGGACAGATTTGACAGCTGGCTGCCACTGCAGCACTAGTGGCGCATGCCACTAGGTAGCAGAAAGTTGGAAAATTTGTTGTTTTGTTGCAATTCAACTTCCAGACTCGACAAACAGGCAAATATCACTCATAAAGCAAGAAAACACCAGCACCACTCAGAAACATGTAAATAAATTGGTACTCACCTTCTTATAAATAAAAAACATTCATTCTTTACATAGTTCATTCCCCCAAACTGGATCCGGAATACAAAAAGAAGAAAGAAAGAAAACATAATAACGTAAACTGGGGTAACATACTCAAGACATGTTTGAAGCTGTCTCCTCCGAGTCATCACTACTGGATTCCTCGGTCTCTTCAACGATAACTAGCCAATGACCAGCACTCCCGCCACGCTGAATCCCCCAACCTTGTCTAGCTGGAGGCACCATGTTAACTCTCTGCATACATTCATAGACATTAGTAACTGCATTTCATTCATACATGGCATATGCATTGCATATTCTCTTTTGTATTATTTTTATACTTACAGATACATGCTTGTCGGAGAGTCTCGCTACCACGAACTTGAGGCGCGCTACTGCATGCAGCTGACACACCTTATTGTAATCGGCAATAAACACATGCAATATAAGATGGGGGTAGCCAATAGGAAAGAGAATAAAATAATTCAAGACCAATCATTAGAGGAAGAGAAAAGAATACTCACATGGGTGTAGCACAGCAAAGACATGCGGTATGAGTTCACGAGATGGGTCTCTAGCATGCCCTATGTTGGCTGCCCTGTGCGCTCCAAAATGAAAGAGAAAAAGGCACTTGGTCCGTGCTCCGGCTTCCCGATGACGATAGCCATATCTAGGGCCACGGAATTAGAACCCCTCACGCGCTTATCGCGTTGCTACCGCTACTAAAATAAAGCACAGTCATTGAATAAAAGAAAAGACATTGGGGTAGCCAAGAACAGAATAAAAGAGAATAAAATTCACCTAAGCTGGGGCATCACCTTGACCTCTATCCAGCTCTTCCGCCTCGACAAAAAGATCAGACTCGGTAGGTGGAGGGATATGGACCAAGAGCTGGGTTTGCACAAAAATAGTGTAAGCATCAGGCACAAAAGCAGCTAAATGATCAGTGGTAGCCGATCCTCTCCACGCAACTGTAATGTCCTAGTCAAGCCGAATAGACCTGGTGGGCAACATATAATATGACATGTCATGTGGCACTCTCCTCCAGTCTGGGCCAACCTCCCACTCGTACACCCTCTCCCAAGGTAGTACATGTCACAAAACAAACCGGAAAGGAAAGCCGTCTGTGCTGGTACCCGACGGCCGCCTAAACAACGTTAGCATACGTAGTCACCTCCCCCCACGAGTACGTCTCTATCTGCAACAAACAAAGAAAGAAAATAAAAGATAAGAATTAAAATCAGAAAAAAATAAAAAAAAATAAAAGCTGTAAGAGGTAGTAACTTACCCGATCCCAGGTCATGTTGTTAAGCAACTGTCGGAACACTGAGACCTCCAAGGTAGTATGAGCATATCTCTGACCAAATCTCCATGCTCGACCTCGAGGGAGAATCCTCGCATTAGTGTCACCATCAAAGTCGTATAAGCTCGGCACAGGGAAAATGCTCAAAGGAATATGGCTAACTTCATTTTCCGAAAATATCAGTAAATAAGTAAAAGCACAAGAATAAAACGGAATGAGGAAGAATGCTCAAAGGAATGTGATTTAATACCTCAATGACGCGCCTGTAGCCGACCTTTAGGTGCGCTCCTCAGATGCACAAGTCCATGCTATAGTACTGAAACGACAAGGCAACAGCTCCCCAGTTAAACTGCCTCGTCGCATCTAGATCCTGAAGAGAAGGTAGCAGTGCCAAATCTGCATCGTTACCATGATTAGTGAATAAAGTAGTCGACAGCAAAAAAAAGAGATAGGCTCATGCTACCACATCCACATCCAGCTCCTCCATGTGCTCTCAAGGCCTCTCATAGTGAGAAATAATGCTCTCATAACATATCCTCTTATCGGAGATGGTAGGCTCCATCCCGATAACAGCTCGAAGAATCGCCTACAGACCCGGTCGGTCCAAAGTCCTCAGCTGGTAATCAAAAATGACTGACCGCCCTCTAAAGCGAAGCCCGATGATGGCAGCAAAATCGACTGATGTAATCGTCATCTCACCGAACGGTAGATGGAAAGTGTGAGTAGTATCCATCCACCGCTTTATGAGCGCTAGAATACTAGAAGGCAGGATCTGCCCTTGCACTCGGGGAAGGGTATCGACAAAACGGCCAAAGCCCGCCTCCCGAATATAGTCCTGGACTCGCATAGGTAACCGATCGAACCATTCACCGGCCGTATAGGCGTTGCCGTCGAATTTCCCGCACTTCGTGCTTTTTTGCAAAATAACCGCTGTAAGTATACTAATAAAGTGCAAAGGCACATATATATATTTCATGTTTTGATGCAGGTAAGCAAGGAAAAACAACGAAAAATGACAAAAATTTAGTGTTTCACAGCTATTGTGGCATAAGCCATTGAGTGGTGGCGCAAGGCACTACTCAAGTGGCGTGCACCACTAGTGCTATGGAGCACGCCACAAGGCTGCAGCACAGCCAAACATAAGAAAGTGGAGCATGCCACAACAATTGTGGCGTACGCCACAGCAACCCGTGATAGCCCAAGAACGCCCAGAAACATCAAAACGGTAAATTTCTACCTAGTTTTTGATTTCTAACCTAATCTCCGCATGTTTCTAATCTTAATAATGCAGAAAAAAAAAAGAAAAAAGTTTCAAAATATCTCAGATGTGCCTCAGCAAATCGTGCCATTGGCTGATCGTAGTCCCCGCGTCAGGAATAAACTCCCGCAGTTTCATTCCGTGGGTCACGGGTCGAGCCACGGGATTGACCACTGTATCACCGGGAAACCAATCCACAACATTCTCGGCAGTCATTAGTCGTGGTTGAGAGAAATAGCAAAAGAGAAGAAGAGAGTGTTTGACAAGAAGAGGTTGGTAAGTTAGGTTGAAAGTAACAAATGAATGTCACTTTCACCTTTTATAAAGTCTAATGGGCCTATGGACCCAGCTTTTGCCTTTGGGCCCAATTCAATCCAAAGGTCCATTTACTGCAACCAGCTCTCATACTTAACCGGCAACCCATCAACGGCTAGCCGCCTACGCAAGGCAACACACCGTTAGCCATAGGTAACTCGCCTCGTTTAGCATACCACATCACTATTTTTTTAATAAATTCACACAGAAACACACAAAAACACGTAAATTCACATAACACGCATATTCACACAAACACACAAATTCATGTATTTTCATGCAAAATCACGCTTCACACACGCACACTTTTCCAAGCCTAATCACAGAATTCATAATTCTAACCACTAGCCAAATGCATGTTTTCCTATCAAAAAATTCGTTTTCGCCGGTACCTCCCAAAGTGGAGCATTCCAGAATCAAAGTCCCCCGAGGCAACCAAAGACATTCTAAGTGGCGCACCTAAGCCGTCCCAAGTGGCACACCCAAGCCGTCCCAGTTGGCGCACCGAAGTCGTCCCATGTGTCGTACCCAAAGCCCCTTCAAAGAAAGCACCATCCAAAGGACGACCTCCCACAGTAGAGCTTTTTATCAAAGCCACCTTTTGGTGTAAAGCATTTTATCAAAGACGTTGTTTGGCACAGAGCATCTTTATTAAAGCCGCCGTTTGATGGCGCATCTCCTCCCCTCCCATCGTCCAAAGGACAACCTTCCACAGTGGAGCATTTCAAAACTAAAATCCCTCGAGGACCAAAGCTCTTCAAAGAAGGCACCGTCCGAAGGACGACCTCCCACAGTTGAGCTTTAATATAAAGCCACCATTTAGCGCAAAGCATTTTATCAAAGCTGTTGTTTGGCACAAAAGCATCTTTATCAAAGCCACCGTTTGGCACAAAGCATCTTTATCAAAGCAGCCGTTTTGTGCAAATAGTCGCAGAAGCCACCGACAATCACCATGGTGCATCTCCTCACCCTTCACCGTCCAAAGGACAATCTCCCACAATGAAGCATTTCAGAACTGAAGTCCACCATGGCACCCAAAGCCCTTCAAAGAAGGCACCGTCCAAAGGACAACCTCTCACAGTGGAGCATTTCAACAAAGCCACCAGCCCGAGCAAATAGCCTCAAAAGTCGCCAACAATCACCATGGCGCAATTTGCCCACCTAACAATCGCCAACTAGCAATCCACATTGACAAAGCTGCCAAAATGGCACACCTCATCCGTCCAAGTCTTTCAAAGAATGCAAATCAAGTAAGTATTTTCTTACTTGCGCGTCTACTTTACACTGTGATGGCATCTTGCTCAAATAGCAAAATATCATCAAAGTGGGGGGCAAACTGTAGACACTCAAATTTTTCCCCTAACGGCTCAATGATGATAAATCGTTTTTTCACATAAGTTTGGCTCGGGATTCTTGATCGTCCCGATTCTCAGACCAATGGTCCGTGGCTGAGAAAATATATGTGTTTAACCATTTTTACTTTTTTGAGTTACCGGGGGTTTTGCGACGTAACCCAGCCCGAGAAGCCCGTTGGGCTTGCCCAGTGCACTCTCTCATTTTGCGTGTCACCCGGTCCGATTTGGTAAAAGTAGTCCGGCCCTATTTCAGGGTCCACCAGTGGCATTTCACCACGTGAGCCCTAAAATGGGGCCACATTCTCCCAATTGTCCATAAATAGGGCATTGGGGGTGTGTAAAAGGGAGAATTTTTAGACACTTAAAGGAAACTCTTGCCATTTGAAAAATCTACTTGGAAATCAAAAGAAACTTGTATTTCTCTTTGTTCTAAAGTAGTGATTCATTGATCTTCAATTACTAAACCCTTAAGGATCCACTATAAATCCCAAAAACACATGTATTAAATCTCAATCTCGGATTATTGGATCAAGAACTCAAACCTTTGGGTCTCTTTATCTATTTTTGCACAAAACTTTGAGGAAATCTCTAAAAGGTAATACCTGAGAGCTTTTAACTCATTTCTTCATCTTTTTCCTTTCTTTTTTTTTTTTTTTTTTTTTAAGAAACTCAAACTTTGGTCTTCTTTATCTCATTTTATGCACAACAAACTTTGAGGAAATGCTCTAAAAGGTAATACGCTGAGAGCTTTTAACTCATCTGTCTTCATCTTTTTCCTTTCTTTTTTTTTTTTTTTTTTTTTTTGGTATTTAAAGCACCTAGTCTAAGGTCTGTTGTTGAGGGAAAAACCCGGGGATCAACCAATAGGTTCTATGCCCTCGCAGCGAATCACGCACCAATCGGGTAAGGCGCACAGTGGCTGCAAGCTCGCTACGTGTGACGTGCGCCACAAGCACGTGTTCTGAGCGCCACCAATCAACCGCAAATAACCCCCACTTTGACTCTGTTGCCTTACTTGCAACCCTTCCCTGATTAGCGGAAGGGCCTGGGCGCCACTACATGTGGCGCCATGCCACGTTCCCCGTGTGGCTACTAGACCCTTGCAATTCAAAGAGTTTCAGAAATATCAATAAGTCATCAAACATGTCCTCGCATCGATGATTCGCCAATGGGCAAAAACTCCCAACCTAACTGGTCGTGGAATGCGTTTTTCGTTCCACAAATAGATCAAATAAATACTAATAGAACAAGCATTCGAGGATTAATTGACTTAGTGCGTAATATTTGTTCATCATCTCATGATGAACATTTCAAGGCCCGATTGAAACTTAAATCTTGTTCAAACCTTCTGAATTCAATTGTGCCATTCTTAATTCCTTATGCTTGCTTTACGTTTGCCAGCACTTTATTATTTTGTCCTTTAATTTTAGTCTTATATTTACTTTTGTAACTTGAACATGTGCATCATTTATCATTTTGTGAATCGAAATGAATGATTAATGGGTGCTGGATTGTATGCATTGTTGCTAGATGCATGATTTGTTTCTCTGAAATGATGTTTATATTGTGGTTTGTATTACTTGAATTGTCTTATTTTGCTTTGCTTAATCATTAATATCACGGCAAGAGAATGTGAAGAGACCTTTAATGGGTCTCATTAATGCTTGTTTGCTGAATGATATGGAATTTCGAAAATCAGATGGCTAGAAAGCACTTTAGTGTAGTTTATAATTCTTTTCTGCCTCATCTCCTTTCCTTTGGATTGTTTGATTCTCTCTTGTTATTGTTCATTTAATTATATGATTGACATGGTTTCCAGAATTGCATAAAAAAGTATTTACATCTCATTTTTTTAGTTAAATGTCAAGTTTGGGTAATTGTGAATATTAATGGAGCCAATTTTAAGTTAATGATATTTACTGAGAATTGTTTAATGGAACACCAAGGCACAGCCGGTTTCGACCGTGGTAAATGAAGTGTCTACATACCTTCCCCATCATACCTACTCTGGACCCTATCTCTGATTTAAAATCGAGTTAGTCAGATTCAAGAATCGGGACTAACATTCGAAAATTTTTCCCCTAATGGAATAGCGACTCCTAAAAATAAAACGTCTTACCAAGTAAAAAGAATATTTTCGATGGATTAACGAGTGGGTTTAAATAAGAAGAAAAACTCGACTTATTAAATAAAACCAATCAAGGCCGTTCGATTGATTCTTTCCTTCATATTATGGAATTCAAGCTATCCTCGGTATCAAAGGGAAGGTTGCTTTCACAGGATGTATTCGGAATATTACTGTTTTAAGACCATAACTAAAAAGGAAGGTTCTTTCACAGACGTTTCGAATATATGTTTTAGAGAACATATAACTAATAAACCAGATTTGAAAGAACTAAAAAGATGAGAATATCAATAATTGCTAAGGTCCTTTACAGCGATTAACATTTCATATTTATACTGCATGGCTTAATTGTTGACGTGATTCTTTGATGACAATCAATCTTTGGACCTGCCACCATGAGAATATTACGTTATATCCATTGTTAGCCTGATCATCAAGGAAAAAAAAAAGAAATGTTGCTAGTTGCTTCACAGATAGGAAATAAAACTAACATGGACTTCTTTAGTAAGGAAAACAGAATCACTAGGTATACTTCAACAAACAAAAAACTCAAGGAAGAGAGAGAGATGAGGACCTGAAGCTTCACTAATTTCTGGCAACAATTGAAGGCATTTTCTCCACACACGGTCATCCATTTCACCAAGTCAGTGTTTGGGAGTGTTCCAAGCTAACTAGTGTATGAAAAACTTTGATGCTTTAATACAGCGTGCATGTTTCTGTTCTTGCAAATGTTAAGAGAATTCATATCAAAGTAGAAGAATGCATAAAACCCTCCTCTTTAAACATTGTTTGTTTTGGGTGGGATGTTTATTGTTGATCAACATATTCAGGAAAACTTAGTAGCCTTACTAAAATTTTAATGTTGAGATGTCGTATCTATACTCAATTGGGCGAGGGAACATTGGTTTTCTCTTGGTTTGTTTGCCAATCCCTAACCCCTGTACCAGTTCAACCATCCCTATTGGTCTACAAAAATGAATACTTACCTTTCTAGATCGTCAATTCAGCCTAAACAACAATTCCAAAACTGTATTTCCAAGCTCTCTTACATCAGTGCAATTAATCAAAAGCCAAAGGGGCACAACACTGAGTTTTATAATTGTTCAAATTTGCATTCCAGCATCCTAAATAGGTAACTGCAATTCCTGGAACACCAAAAAAATTAAGTCTTTGGCTCCTTTCATACCCCAAAAAATTTTGACAAAAGGACGTAGATAAAAAGATAAGAAGTTCTAAAACAAAAAAAAAAAAAAAAAAAAAAAAAATAACAAGAGAATAGAGTTCCTAAAAGCACGTTCAATAATTCTCTTCATACGAGTTTTGGCAAGGACATATGAGACACCGATTGCTGAAAAACATGCCATTAACAAATATGGCACTCTAAAGAGGCAAAAGATTGGGCTTATCTCCACAAATGTTTAAGTTGCCCAAGTAGCCTTTACACGTTAAAATCAGATAGCATGGCCTGTATATTAGCAAACAATCTGCTATTGTGTTTTGTTACTAGGATATGTTATCAGGTTTACCCACCGATGACTCGGGTCTTAGAAGTTCATTACCTTATATACTCAGTTAAGACAAGCGAATGTGCAGCATCGCCATGATGTGTTACCTTGGAATATTTCAAAGAAGATGTTAGAGCTCATTAGTTTTAGAGCTCCTACAGACAAGTTTGGCACTAAACATTTACAAAACTGAGTGTTTCAATGTCAGCTCTAAAGAGATTCAATGTGCCTACTATTCTATCAGGAGATAGGAAGATATGATTCTTGCCAAACAATGAGGAGAATCGCAACGCAAGAACAAAATTCAGATATGGAGGGGACAACTCCCAGTATAGTTAAAATTACAGGATTTTCGTAACCAAACGTTAAAAAACTGTTGTAAGAAACCACGTATTTCCATACCTCGGTGGAGTGGAAGAAGCGACAGAAAATGTTTCAAATCTTTAGAAAATGTGACCTGGCACGAACAGACAGCTTGTTCTGCATTGTCAAACAAGTTGATCCTTTTCTCTGTTCAAAAATTTTTCATTAAAGCCAACAGAATCTTCTGCTGGTTTGCTCTCTTGCAAGAAAGACAATGTGTTGCATAAAACATTATTCAGCTGTTTCCAGGAGTGTTTTTTCCAGAAAGAAGACCACCCAGATTGGACAAATTTAAGATGCATGACAATCTCGTGTGCCACCATCACTGCGACAAAAAATGATCAATGAAGTTCAAACTCTTGAAGATTCCTGCATTTAGCGAATTTCCGCAATTAAGACATTCAAGCAAATTACAACATCAAACAAACAAGGAGGCATTATCTTGGATTCAAGCTATATGAACGCAGTGTTAATGATTTTGTTCACTGAACAACAGTGCAAACAGTCATTAGAAGGAGTAAATATTGCTTTACCTTAACTAATAACTAGCAGTTGAGACCAGGCTAAAAATCATACCCTTTCAAGAGTATAATATAACAGCTTGAACTAAACATCAAAACATAATTAAAACAAAAAAAAAAAGGGTGTGCTTACCATTATAAGGAACTTCAAAGAGGTAGATTTTGCAGGAAGGCCAATGCCAATTACCAGCCAAAGTGATTGCCCACGCTACAATCCAATACCCACAGCAGCACCAACATAACCAACCACTTCAGACCAAACCAAGGACCCCAATCCAACACCACAGCCAACACTCAGTCCCATTACCCAAAAGGCTCCGAAAAGGGGAATGTACAGGGATTCCTCTTTCATATCTCCGGAACAATCCGGTTTTATGATCATCGCAATCCTAGATCAAAAAGAAGTTGAATTTAGCAATATACAAGAATAATAACCTTTATAATAGCTCCATCACCCAAAATAATCTTATATTCTGGCATCGTTATGTTTTATAAATATCTTTTGGGCTTTGCGTCAGAAAACATCTACACTACAATCAGTTTACGAGTTAGATTAGCATATCATATTATTTGAATCAGTTCATCACATTTTAAACATTTTAAAAATGCAACTTTTTGGAATGTCAGACGATGATAGCATCTTCATGGAAATTTTACTTTGCATTGTCTCCAATTGTTACCAGAAGAGAGGGGAAAAAAGGAATAAAAGGTAAAATTTTGAAAAACTATTTATTGGGTAGTAGGAATCAGATGGCCAGTTGAACTTTTACTCAGACCAGTAGGAAACTCATGCCTCACTATTAGTCATCAGGCTTCGAAATTTTAATAAAACCCGTATTCAATGAAAATTCATAGACAGCAAACTAAGCATTGGCTCGTCTACAGTATATCAAAGGGAATGCTCAAAGAGATTCATGAAGAATTGTAAACTTAGAGATGCTTGGGAATTTAGGGACAATGGAAAAGAATTCCAAAAAGGAGCCATTCAGCATGTTTCACTATTCATCATTGTTTGAGCCGCTACTCGGACTCGAGATCAAGATGCTCTTTACCACTCTTCCTAAGAGCAGCGTTCTTGCCGATTTGTAAAGATGACAAGTAACTGAAGCTTATTTTTC